GACAACTGGGTGCGTGACTTTGGTTTACCAAAGTCAATCGTTAGTGACCGAGATGTCTGATTCACAAGTGAGCTGTGGAAGAAGACTGCAGAACAGATGGGCAGTCAACTTGAAATGACTTCAGGGAATCGTCCCGAAGCCAACGGACAAGCCGAACAAATGAACAGAGTTGTACAGCACTTGCTGAGGCATTACATCAAGCCTACCCAAGATGATTGGGATGAGCAGTTGCCTCTCATCGCCAGCCTGTACAACTATGCTATCCATAGCAGTACCGGCGTTATTCCTAATCAGCTGCACTTGGGATGGAAGCCTAGATCAGCACTAGACTTCCTCCTACCTGAAAACCGACCCGCTGCAACTCCAGGCACACTAGAGTATGGTGTGCAGTATGAGAAGTTGCTGCAAGAGGCTGTCGAGCATATGAAGAAAGCTCAGCAAGCAATGATTGCTTATGAGAATCAACATCGTAGACAGTCCACATTTCAGGTAGGGGAACGAGTCTGGGTCAAGGCTAGTGAGTTAGGACAGGAGTTCGGAATCTCTCGCAAACTAATGCCTCAGTACTTTGGTCCTTGGGAAGTCCTGGATGTAGTGGGAGATGAGATGGATGGTCCCACATATGTCATTCGTGTCCCTGGACACCTACGCACTCACCCAGTCTTTCATGCCTCAAAGCTTGCACCTTTCGCTGAGACTGATCAATTCCCTTCCAGGAGATCGATGCTGCCCCCAACCATGGATGGACAAGTGGACATCGACGACATTGTGGATCACAGGGATATGCCTGTTCCGAAGCCGCTGGGTCGAGGAAGACCTCCTAAACCCAAGAGAGAGTACTGCGTCAGATTCAGGCATCATACGGATCCGAAAGAAGATCGATGGTTTACCAGGGAGGAACTGATTGAGACAGCTCCTGTGGCATACTGCGTAGCCACACGGGCCCTGCAGGGCCCATCCCGGACATTCAGCCTAAAAGCCTAAAACTTAGAGCTTACAGGCCCCGGTCGTTTCAGCCTGAAAGCTGAAAAACGAGGGCCTGCAGGCCCTACCCCGTTTCAGCCTATTTCGGGGTCTTTTCAGACCCAGAGTTTTCAGCCTGAAACGGAGGGCCATTTTCAGGCCCTCATTGTTTCAACCGCCCCTAAGACTCAGGCATGTAAACAGGGATACGGAACAGGCCAGAAATAGCCTGTTCCTCACGAGTTTGAGCAGGAGCTGCAGCTGCAGCCCCTGCCTCCCTTCGGCAGGCTCAGGAGGCACACCCGGTAGTACATAGGAAGTTCCCATGCACTTCACGGGTAGGTAGTTCTCAGTAGGCACGAGTAGTCTTCAGGATTCGGCCGCAGCACTCAGGAGGAGCRCTGCAGTAGTCTTCAGCGCTAGGCAGGTATTAGCGCTAGCTGTAGTCTTCGGCACTGGGTGCCCATAGCCATAGAGGTAGTCTTCAGCGCTGGGCGCTGTGATAGGTGGTAGATCGTAGAGTGGGAGAGATACTGGCGGAGGCCAGTGGTACGTACCTGTGGCGCCATCGCTCCAGCTCCATCTTCGTGATACCTGCATCAAGGCGCCAACTTCACAGGTTAGTACTGGACACMGAGAGAGAGAGAGTTCTTCTTCTTCCTCTTCTAAGTCCACCATCTCTTCTCACCCTCTCGCCACCTGACTTCTCAGACTACGACAGAGAGAGAAAGAGTTGTGACTT